GCATATAAAAAAATTTGTTATTAAAAATTAAAAATTAATATAAAGATACATAGGTATAATAATAGCGCCTGATGTATTGAATTTATATTAATTGATTTGTAAAATACATTGAATACTGACGTTAATTAGAGTTACTGTAAAATCTTTAATACAGAAATGCAACATGTATTTGTACGTGTTATGTCATATAAAACAAAATTCTGCAAATTGTTTAGTTCAAAATTTTCATGCAACAACGTTTACGCTTACAAGTTTGTGTAAATCTGTAACATAAAAATTAATATAAATTGAAAATAGCAAATGTATAATATAAATTACCAAAGTAAAGATCAATCCATTGAGAATAGCGATTGTCCATACTTGTAACATCGCATGTAAAAATATTATCACAGCGATAAATTCAAATATCGGCGATTGTTGAATTTTAAATGAAAATTTTTATAGGAAGCGTACAGTATCATTGTAGCTGCCGTATAGTATCAGTATAATTTTTAATTAAAAATACGAAATGAATTATGTAGTCGCCTAAGAGATAAAGTGCTGCAACAATCGCATTAAAATTCAATAAAGTGTTAAAGAAGAAATATATTAGCAATATATTAGCTTTGATCATCATCATATACAAATGCTGATTGATGTTGATGCTCACGCCAGTCATTATCCATATCCGTCAAAATTTCATGAAGGATACTGCAATACGTTACTTTAATACGTTCGTCATTTTAATTAGATGTTACATATAAAAGATATTTCTTTTTATTTTCTTTGATAAGTCAACTGTTGTGCACTTCAATTGAATTAAAATGTATACAATGATATTAAGATACTTCCTGTTAGAGAAAATCGGATCAAGAATGTATATTAGGAAATTGAAGAACGAAGAATTTCTCAAACATGGTAATTCAACAAAATTAAAATATATTACATAGTTCATACATTACATTACCTTACCGACAATGTGTCCACGGAGTAGCCAATTTAAGAAATGACAATCTGTAATCCAGAGTCACGATCAAACAATCAACAAGATTTGATAACTTACTGATTTGCAAGTAATTAAATATATACAAATATTGGAAGTACTGTATAATAAGTATGCTCAACGTAAAACTCAATCAGTAAATGATGGAATACGACACACTCGGCCAAAAGCCGAATAATCGAAGGCCAAATTTCAGTGCTGGATCGACGGTACTTATGATCATTTGCCAAAAATTTTAGAAGTTTTGAGAAAATATTAATTATTTTCAGCATATTTGTTCGGTACTCGAGTTGAGAAGGAAATGAGAGTGCAGCCGTTTCTCCAAGTGCATTCCTACATTGTGTGTCCTCACTCATGTGAATATGGATCAATCGCTATTACACGTTGCGTATAATAATAAGTTGAGGCAAAAACATTATATATACCATAATTCTATGAACAGGTTGGTAATATGTTTTTTGTCCACAATTGTAACATAACAAAGATGTTATACGGTAACAGGAAAGAAACAGTTCAAACGTTATTTTTCTTGTATCTCTGTCTCTTTGGCAACGCAAATTTATCGGTAAGAAACAAATGTCTACGTTTCCCGAAAATCATTAAAAACATAGCCAAGCGATGATAATTACACGTCAGGTATTCTCAAAAAACAAAATTAAATTGTATTTGTGTAGCTGAATAATTTTTTTAAAGAAATGAAAGCAGGGAGAACAACAGAATTTTCTGATTGATCCAAATAGCGTAATGATAAGTAATTTTTTCTAATAATTTAGGAAATTTTATTATGCAAAACTCTCTCATAAAGGAAATTTTATAAAAGCAAAAAATGTTTTTATTTGAAAATTTTATAAAAATTAGTCGCAAGTACATATAATGAAATAAATGCGTACGACTCTCCATTGAAGAATCAATGCTCGACGTATTGCACATGTACATATTGCTTTTAAGTAAGAATATATTAATATAAAATAATTTATTTAAATAATTTATTAAATTAAATTACATTTAATATTAAAAATTTAGTATAAATGCAAATAATTTTTTCCTTTTTTAATATTATATTAATATATTCTTACTTAAAAGCAATATGTACATGTGCAATACGTTAAGCATTGATTCTTCAATAGAGAATCATACGCATTCATTTCATTATATGTATTTGCAACTAATTTTTATAATATCTCCAAATGAAAAAATTGTTTGCTCTTATTAGTAATTACTCACATTATAAATAAGACAGTTGTTAAAAATTTATATCTTAATTAATTGTA